GTTCCATCTTACAATGCCCAATACTTTCTTTGCTACTCCCTGCCACAAATTTCTCTGGACCATTTTAGGTAACTGTGGAGTGGATTGGCATGTAAATTCTCTTTGGTGATTGCAAAACCATTTCTCTTATGTCACAGGTGAACTGGTATTGCCCACCTAGAGGGGCTTGTTGGAAAAGGTCAGGAAAGCAGTGTAACTGCTCATCCACGGGCAGCAGGTACCCAGGGTCACAAGCCAGAATGAAAACCACAATTCAGTGCGCTACAGAGGGACCCAGACATCAGGGCAGGATCTGGGACCTCTCCGGGAAACTTGGCGCACCCAGCTGCCCATGCTGGCTGCAGGGAAGGCAAGGTGGGCCTGGGGCATGCTGCCGATGGCCATCTCTGACCTAAAAACAGTAACAAAGGCTGGAATGCTTACAGCTCTAGTCCCCTATATTATATGCCAGCACAAAGACCTGAATAATTCTGGCTGGCTGTCCCAGGTGATGTATGTTGGAGTTTCTCAAAAATTTTAAGTATTCAAAGTGCTAGTTTTCATTTTTCCATTTCAGTGGAAATGAAGTGATCTGAGGATATTCACACTGGAGCCACGCACTGGAATTTTTACAGTGTACTTCAAAGGAACAATGGGATTGTTGAGAAGTCATTACCATTCGTATTTATTTTCCCATTCCATCAAAACTTTTTTCAGTAGCCCCAATCACATTTTTGACAGCACAGCCAAATTTACAGCTGATGCTTGATCCTGCAGTTGCTCTAAGGGCTTTTTTTTTTTTTTTTTTAATCAGGATTCACTCATCATCTTGGTTGTCTTCTTAGCAAGTCACTGTTGTGATGCTTCCTTTTAAGGCCACAAAATCGTTCGTGTCCTTGACATGACCCAGACATCCATATCCTGTATGAAAAGGATTTTAATTTTATGCCAGCAATAAAAATTAATTACTGGAAAATTTATAATTTGAGACCCCATAATAACCAGGCTCATTATTTTCCAGTGCCAGCATTCTGCAGGTGTTCTGGAAGATGGCACAGACACAAACCGTTACTTCTTTTCTGAAACAAGAGGCTCCTCTCAGTCCCTCCGTCGGGCTGTGGCTCCCTGATCCCTCCGTTGCAAGTCATGGGTCATTAGGGTTGTGTAGCTATAGAGATGGAAGCCCTACTCTACATCACCCCTTGCTTCTTGATTTGCTCCATTTGGTGCTGCTGCAGAAACATTTCTAATGGGAAAAATAAAGATGGCCTGAGAACAGATGCTATCAGTAACTGAAAATTCCTTCAGATTTGTATATGGAGATAGGAAATCTAAAATTTTAGAGCAAGGTGGAGCCAACTGATGGATGCTCCCCAGATCTGGCTTCAGGGAATTAAGACCTGGCTTTTTTTTTTTTTTTTTAATGAGGCTGAAATCTTTATCATCTGGTAAAACTCATAGAACCACTGGTCATAAAATCTTCAATACTTTTCCAGGTACTTGCATTCAAAAGAAATGTTGGAGAGTTCTTATGAACAGTTGTTTCTACAATTAAAATAGTTTTCTTAAGAGAATTAGCTTGCAACTACTTCTTTATAAGCTAGATACATAAACAGCAACTTCTTACACATAGTGTACAAATGCCCTGAAGTACCAGAATCAAGCAAACAAAACCGATTCAAATAAATGAGGGGAAGGCTTGTATTTTTAATACACACAACTCATTCCTGAGGGCTTGATCAAATAAACTACAGTGACCAAGATAAGGGACAGCCAAACCTGAAATGAGAAGGAGATTGTGACGCTCTTGGGTCTCAGTATTTAAAAGGTTTAGGTATTCAGAGTCTGATAAATCACTGGTTTGGCCCCTTTCTGACATAGTCATTGTTGCAGATGCACTTTCAAATTTCTATGTAAAATGTTTCCTGGGTCGGCTGGATGTCTGATGGAAAAGATAGCAGGCTAAACTCCCTTGAAATTCATAGCATGGGGGTTCCCAAGGTTTTCAGACTAACAAAACATCAACATTTCTTGCTGCTAGTATCATCATATGTCAGGGATGAAATGTTTTAATTTAAAATAGCGTGTAGTGTAGCTCTGTAGACTTCTCAAGGCCATGGAGACCTCAGCTGGCAACCACCTCGCTACGTCTTGTGTGCTGTGATTTTCCTAGGAACATACATTAAAGATGAGAAAAGATGAAAATACTTAAAATTTAGTCTCTCCAGCCATAATACAAGTAGATGTAGTTGGCATGCAGCTGGCAAATGCAGCCGCTACGTTGCTCTCCCTATTTGAAAAGTCATGGCAGTCAGGCAGTCAGGCCCCCAGTGACTAGAAAAAAGGAAACATCACACTCATTCTTAAAAAGGGATCGCCAAATGGAGAGCAGTAACAAGTGGTGTGTCCCTCAAGGGTCTGTATTGACGGGTACTGCTGAATCTTTATTAGTGACGGACAGTGGGATTGAGCGCACCCTCAGCAAGTTTGTGGGCAACACCAAGCTGTGTGGTGCGGTTGACATGCTGGAAAGAAGGGATGCCATCCAGAGGGGACCTGACAGGCTTGAGGAGTAGGCCCATGTGAACCTCATGAGGTTCAACAAGGCCAAGTGCAAGGTCCTACACGTGGGCCGGGGCAACCTCTGGTATCAATGCAGGCTGGCAGATGAATAGATTGAGAACAGCCCTGCAGAGAAGAACTGGGGATACTGGTGGATGAAAAATTGGGTATGACCCAGCATATGTGCTCATAACCCGGAAAGCAAACTGTATCCTGGGCTGCATCAGAAGCGTGACCAGCAGGTCAAGGGAGGGGATTCTGCCCCTCTACTCCATTCTTGTGAGACCCCACCCAGAGTACTGCCTTCAGCTCTGAGGCCCCCAGCACAAGACATGGACCTGCTACAGTGTGTCCAGAAGGGGGACATGAGAATGATCTGAGGGCTGGAGCACCTCTCCTATGAGGAAAGGCTGACAGAGTTGGGGTTGTTCAGCCTGGAGAAGAGAAGGCTCCAGGGACACCTTATTGCGGCTTTCCAGTACTTAAAGGGGATCTTATAAGAAAGATGGAGAAAGACTTTTTTAGCAGGGGCAATGGTTTTAAACTAAAAGAGGGTAGATTTAGATTAGATACAAGGAGGAAATTCTTTACTATGAGGGTGGTGAGACACTGGAACAGGTTGCCCAGAGAAGTTGTGGATGCCCCCTCCCTGGCAGTGTTCAAGGCCAGGCTGGCTGGGGCTTTGAGCAACCCAGTCTAGTGGAGAGGTTGGAACGATGTGATTCCACGACTGTATGCCCCCGCAGGCTAATCCTTCTATGGCCAGGAAGACCCAGGACTGGGATTTCCAAAACTACAGTCATTGCTAGAGGAGCGTGGGAGGAGAAAGCCATCCTTTCATCAATTCACCTTCTAGCATGAAAACTGCAGTCATCAAATCTATCGAGATTGTTCTTCCTCTTCCCTGACCATTCCTGGTGAACTGATCTGGCAAAGGAGTAATACAGAAATGAATCCATCACTTTTATGGAGAACTGCAGTGATGTTAATAAATCTTGTGTTCAAAACAGTATTGCCAGAGCGAGCACCTTAGGCCAGACAGCTCCCCAAATTTCCAAAGTAACAACAGGGATGGCATTTCAGAGGCTGACAATGTCCATAACACAATAGGGCACTAAGTTGTTTCCAGGCATAGTAAGGATCAAGATACTGGACCTTAAAATATTCCCATCATCTTCCTTCACATTATGATTTTAGCAGCTAAAAATTGAAGAAATGATTGCGTTATACCCTATGACAACCAGAATGTCAGGCTTCCAAGTGGTGTGAAGCACTCACTTCTAAATTCAGCTGTTCCTGAGACAACAGCCACTAAAACCAGTCACAACGGAAGTGAATGAAATGGTTGTAAGTGAAAAAGGTGATTTTCAAAGCTTGCATTCATCCACAGTGTTAATTCTTTTTCCATTGCTGTTACTGCTGTCTTCGGTATCTGGGAACAATGACCAGAAAGGAGCAATACCAATAGCACAGAATGAAGATCTGTAGCTGCCCTCTCACTGAGACTTTCCCCTTTTTGCTTCTTTAAAACAAAAAGGCTGCTCACTATGCAGAGATGTCTTCTGGTGCTGGAAGCAGAGCGCCAGCAAGGCTAGAGCACTGCTTATGATACAGTGGAGCAGATAGTCTGGCTTGAAGCTCTACAGGGTCATAGCTCAGCTGCAAGAAAATGCAACTGTATCAAAACAAATTACAGTTGGGGATGGGGGAAAAAACACATCATGCTCTCATCACAATAAAAGCTACTTTGATCCACTTTCAAAACAATACATCAATCTCACCTGCAACTCTCATCACACAATGAACAGAACTAAATATACTGAACAAACCAGCCCATAATTCTCTCTCTCTCTGTTCAGCCCTTGCCAAAGTAACACCTCATAAGTCCTTTTCTACAATGTCTGAAAGGATGTAGATTTTCTTTCACAATTTAGGACCTGATCATCTGGAGGCAGTCTGTAGCTGTGAGAACAAGGCCTCCTCCCAGTATGGGGATGATACAGAAAAGGCTCTAAGTATGGAGACAATTTTGATCCAAAAAGAGAACTGAGAAGTCAGAGAGAGCAAGAGGTATGCACACAGGCCTCTCTCTGCACATGAGACAGGGCAAGAGGCACAAAGGCAGCCTCGCTTGTAGCTCAGGGCTGCAGGGACAGTAGGGACGTGGCTGCCTTCCAGCACAGAATGCAGGGCACTGGAAAACAGGGTGCCAAAGAGAGCCCTGGGTTCATTTTCCTGGCAGACTCCAAGAGCCTCTGAGATTGAGTGCTGTTCATGGGAGTCTGTCTCTTATGAAAGCCTCTGCTCCCCCGATGAAACAAACAATCGAAACAGAGTCCGTGGCTGATGGCTGCGAAGGTTCACGGAGGCTTGTCTTGCTTTTCTTGCTTGTCTGTATCTTTTCTACTGCGGTCACCTCATGGTATCCAGCCCATCAACATGACATGTCCACAACAACTTCAAACCACAAGGGACATCCTCGTTGGGAAATCATTCTGAGAGGAAAGAAAGAAGATTAATGTCAACAGGAAAGAACCCATGGAATGGACAAAGAGAGACATAGCTTTGACAGAGACACAACCAAACCGCAACAGCTTTGTCCGCTCACACCCCTCTCCTCTCTTACACGCCACTTAGGCTCAGGCCTAACAGCCAAACTGCTCTAATGACAAGGTCTCCCTCATGGAGCAGACTTCAGCCAGCTCCCCTTCCCCAACAACCATGAACTCATCCGTCCTCACTAGCCTGGACTGTGGCAGGATGTTTTGCACTTGCTGGTATCCTGTGTGAAGAATGCCTTTGGCATGGACAGCCCCTACACATGCCCATGGGCGTGCGCCCACAGGAGCCTGTCATCTCACCCCTTTCAGAAAGACAAGGTCTCTTACACCACGCCTTGCTACTAACCCCGTCCCAGTCCAGAAGAGCCTCTCAACCCTTCCTTAACAAGGGTCAAGGCCAAAGCAATGCCCCATAATTTCTGTAAGCCCTGGGTAAGTTCCCTTCCTTATCATGATCCTCCTAAACCCTAGATAAACTCCCACTTCCTTGGATCACCAGGCCACAGATGCCAAAAACATCCCTTACCTCCCATTCCCAGGCACATCTGGCTCTCTCCTCCATCATGAAGTCCTGTGTAGGAGCTATGTCCCTTTCTGGCCTCCTACACCCACAGTGACTGCCCTCTTCCCACAGTGACTCTCCTCATCTGGGGTCTCCCACACTCCAACTCCAGACTCTACCCTCCTGGAGAGCCCCCTTGCCCACAAACTCTGGCTAGTGACCCCTGCCTGGTCGCTCCCCGCTCAGCTTATTTGGATCAAGAGCACCAGACATGGCCTCACTGTTTTCTTGGGGTCCTTTTTCCTCTTCTTGTCAGAGGCGTTGAGGTAGGCCTGCTCCCTGGCCCTGTACGAAGGGCCTCGGCTCAGCTCCCTCTCGCTGTATGGGGGCAGGGTGTCCTCCCCTTCCTCCTGCTCAGGCGGTGGTGGTGGCTGCTGCGGCTGCTGCTGTGACTTCTCGGCTTTGTAGGTAGAGGGTGGTGACCAGGCATAGTATGTTCCCCCTCCTCTCTGGCTTGGCTGCGAGCTCAGCTTTGAGGGGGTTTCACTATGGTCACCACTCTCATCGTAGCTCCGGGATTTCCTCTCCAACACGCTGCTGAGGTAGGAGTGATCGTATTTCTGGCTCCCTCCAGGTGTCCGGCTCACCAGCCTGGGCAGGTGCTTCTCCTCATGGGCCCGTCTCCGGGGTGGGCTGTATGACCAGCCCCGATCCGAGTCCGTCAGCAGCTCTCGGTTTCCTCTGCTACGCTTGGTGTAGTACTCCTCCATGGAGCTATCCTGGTGGGGCAGCCCTCCGCTGCGGCCGCCGTGTGACTCTGACCGCTCAAAACGCCGAGTTTCCTGGCTGTCCGCCCGCCGGGTCCGCTGGCTGTAGGACTCTGCAAAGGCTGCCAGCTCATCCATAGAGACGGCCGGCACTCCCACAGAGAAACTCTTACGGGACAACATCTCCGACTTGGATCTCTGCTGGCTGGAGGAGGGAAGAGGTAGTGTTAGAGGGCAGGATTCAGCTGCGCTCATCCCCTCGGCTGCCTTCACAGACAATGGAGGGAAACAGGCACTCCTGGGGCATGAATCATCTGACCTGTTTTCACCATCTTCTGTAGGAAGAGATGTATCACATCCTCAAAATCCCTGCTTCTCTCTGCTAACTATAAAGGCAGCTTAATGCAGATAGCTCGGACTCTACATGTCTAACGTTACCCAAGATTAACCCCAGACTGCATCTCCCTTGCCCTCTAGTATGCAGGGCTGGACTTGCTTCTTCTTGGCCCCAAAGCTTGTAGGTGTATGTCCTGCTGGGAAAACCCAAGAACCTGGCTACAGAAGCTCACAGCAGCACAATTTTGTAACACGTTTAAAGAGAGCGAGCTGGCACAACAGCCCAGTACTGAGGGAAGGAAACCCCTGCCATGGCTTTTGAGAGACTGGGCTGCTGGTATGTGAGGGAAGGATGTGACATCTCTCTTCTAGGTACGAGAGTGCCAGTCCTTTAGGCCTGGAGTACAGGTCTTGCTGCACCAAAGCACTGGGGTGTGAGTCCTAATAAAGCACACCAGCACTGGGAAGTGCTGGAGGGATCAGGTACAAATCTCAAGAGAGCACTTTGGGAAGGGTGGCTGGGTTTCCTATTGATCTCTCTTTTACATCCCACCTGGAATGGGGCTGGTACCTAGCTTTGCCCAGCTGGGCAGGCTTCAGCAGGCTTGTGGGAATCAGATTCATTCCGACCTCATCTAATGACATCTCCAGATTTCATGTTTCTCTCTAATCCGTCTGTCCTGCTAAGCAGAACCAGAACAGCAGGAAATGGAGAAGAGCTACCAGTCCATCTGTCCCTTCTCCTTTCTTTACTACTTTGCCAGATATAGCTTCCTCCCAACATGGCACTCCTCACCTGTGCCGGAAACTGTCCCGCTCATCTCTGTAATCAGAGATAGCCTGTGATCTTGACGTGCTTCCCCCACCGATCACTCCTGCCCAGTACTCAGCATCGTCATCCAGGTCCCCTGCAGGAGGCAGAGGTTTCCTTCGCACCTGGCGATAGGGCTGTCGGAAGTTCAAGTCCTCTTCATGCAAAGAGCTTAGTTCAGAGATGGTGTTGTTATCTGCAGGAGAGGGTGCAGAAAATAAATGAGACAGGCATCACCTGATAGCACATGTGAGAGGGGAGGGGAGCACAGGAAGGCTGTGGTGAGCCCAACTGCAGCTTTTTCAGAAAGAAGCTGAGTTGCCCTCCAACAGAAAAGAATCAAAATGGAATCCAAAGCCCTTCTCCAAACCCTTAACCGATCCTGTCCAAGACTCCTGGGGTTCAGTTTGGACATAGAGCTGCTGTTAGACCTACAGGTCTTCTAAATTGGTAGCTGGCAATCAGGTGGGATATTCTAAGGGTATCACAAATGGCATCAGATGCCTGTGTTCCAGATAACTGAGTTCAGCCTTCATGCAGAAATCTCTCCTCAGCCCTGCTTCAGTAACACGTGAGCTCTCTGCCCTCGCGAGGTGGGCACCAAGTTTAGTGGAACATCATCACAGCAGTTGTGCCACCTCCCCCCTTCCTGGTGTGAGACAGGCTGGCTCTGGATTTGGCCTGACTTGCCCAGCTAAAACAAAAACCCCCTCAAAAAAAGATTAAGAAAAAAGTAAGAGACTGTCTGAATCACTGTCAGTCTCTACCCCGTCAAGCACACTGACATCTGGAGGCCTGACACACCAATCTGGAAAGGTCTTTTTATAGTAAATCTTGTGGGTGGAGAAGACAGTGTGCTCAGCAATGTCTGTTTTAGAAGTATATATAATTTGTTAGTTACGCCTAATTTGTACAGAGCTTTGATTTAGTGTCATTCCCTAAAGCCCTTACCTTCATTGATTTGCAGGATCTCATGCATCTGTTTTAAATGAGCCTGTACCAGTGCCTAATGTGCGTTAGCTCCGCGCGAGTTGGATGCTGCCTGGAGGAACTGAGCCCCCACGCTGCTGCTGTCCACCACAGAGAACAGCTAAAGGACAAAGAGCAGCACTGCAAGCCCTCCTCATGCACACACCTTGTCCTGCCACTGCACCTCTGCCTCCTAACGCGGAAAGATTCTCACTTGCGTTTGTATTCTGACACCCATTAATTGCAGCCTCAGCCTTTATTAAGGGAAATAAAGCTTGAACTAGGCTATCAGAAGACAGTGAGGAGTTCCACACAGAAGCTCAGTTCTGAGTTTGCATCATGTCCCTGTTCACCACCCTCCTCCCCTTCAGCTGCAGTTGTCTGACCAAGCCATCACTACTGACACGCGTACCACCTCTGATCTTATGTTGACCAGTGTCACAAAATCTGATGATCCCCTGGTTTCTTGAATCTTTCTTGTAGTCTCTGCTTCTTCCGCAGGGCAAGAGCCACTCCAAACTAGCTTTCTGCATTCTTCAAACCGCACTGTGGTCATTGCAGCACACAAAACTCACTTTCAATAAAATTATCCCTCTCCTATTTTGCCATGCTGGGAATTTACAGGCACCACACGGCAAGACCTATAGAAATTGTTAAGACAATATCCCAACTATTATCACACCACAGGCTGTAGAAAGCATGAGTATGGACTTCGCTTTTCAGATGTTGATGATCCAAAAGTTTAATTATCCAAGTGGACAATTTGCATGAGCATTTGAGTATCCCTCACCTTGTTTGCCCTAATTAAGGATGATTAGGTAAGCAGCAGATCTTTAAAATCAGAACATATCTCTGTAGATGCCCAAAATCTAGACTTTATCTGCCCCAAATATTATATCCTGAACATCATATCCTAGAGGCTGGCTCTAAGGCAAAGCCAGCAAACTTTTAACTATGAATTTGCAGGTTTTTTCAGGTTAGTGAAAAAAGAAAAACCAAACCACGCTTGTTCCTCACATCGTTCTCGCATCCTCCTAGCTGGGTCAAACTGAGCCAGTTCTTTCTCGACGTAGTACAGCACCTTCATGGAGTCCCTTTCCTTGTCAGTCTGGATCCTGCTCCCTTTGCGCACTGCTAGGAAGAAAAGAAAAGCGTTAGACGAAAACATATTTAAGTCCAAGGAGACTTTCCAACAATATTGCTCCTATAGTTAAGCTCACATCTGCAGGCAGGTAGGCTGCATCTTTCAAAACAGAGCGAGTCAGTCCCTGCTTCAGAAGAAACTTGTCTATAACATGGGATGTGAAGTTGTGAGCAGCTGCATCATTTATAAAGTTTACTGTAACAGTAAAATGGTTTGGAAATGCCCAATCGGTACAACCAAATGCATCAAGTGGTGTCATTGCCACAGTGATTCCACCTCTCACAGAGGATGGCAGAGAGAAAAGTGCCATTCATTTCCCCTTCCTCAGCACTACCGAAAGGATTTGTCATGGTATGGGAGAAGCAGTCCCAGAAGATCAGTCTTCCTCCATGCAGCAGGGGCCGTACACTCCCGGTCTGCAGGGGAAGCAGGTGGCTGAGCATTTGGGAGCCATCACTCTGCAGGACCACTCCACCCTCCCATCCCTATGCATTCTGCTCACACAGTTGAAAAACACGTGGTAGGAGAAGCTCCAGAGAATACAGAAGGAAACACAGAAAATCCTACAAAGCACATCACACTGCTTTGAGATTTATAACGAATTCAATGATGGGGCCAATCAGGTCACTGGGTAACTGTGAAACTGCCTGCTCTGGCACTCTCTACATGCTTTATTTTACAGAAAAGGTATGTCTTACACATACATTAAGTGCTTGACTCCTGGAATTACTCCATTTGCAGGGGAAGTCTGGACAGCTTGTTTGGCTTTTCCACATTCCTGTACGTAGAAAAGCCCCTACGTACCTGAAGCCACAGCAGCTGTAACACTGGCAGGCTAGCTCCATGCACACTTTGCCTGCTAATCCCACGAACAGCCTGACTATCTCAAGGCAGGTCTATAGGCAGCATGCAGAGAACTCCACCTATCAGGACTTTGAAGAAAATACGGCTTTTATAGTAGGTAATTTAAAAAAGGTCTCAGCCTGGGGCTATTTCAAGATTGACACAAACACAGGTCTAAGAACAAAAGAGAAACCCTCAAATTCAGCCTCATTAGAGAACTGTCATGAGGACAATTCACTTAGCACTACAAAACGGAACCTGTCTGCCTTGCATGAGCATTACTATGTTCCCTTGTGTGAATACTGCAGTGTTGCATGAGTGCTCCTTTTGTGGCACGATTTAAATACTTGGACGGTGGTTTTGAGCCAACCTGTTCTTTCTGATTTATCCCACACCCCGATATATCAAGCTACTAGCATATGGGTTCGGTAGTACGTTGCATAGCGTGCACTGTGTGGGCTGAACAAGGACTTGGCAAAGGTATTCTTAGGCACCTTCTGTCCTAAACTGCTGTGCATGTGTCTGTGCACTATTAAATAACCACACTCTGCTTCAGAAACGGCTGTGCCATAGAAATGAGTAGAATGACTCCTGTAATAATCCTGCAAATTGCTTCAGGAGGAAAGTGCTTTACTGTGGGTTTTGACTCTGCACAAGAAAGGTAAGTAAGTACATCTTGAAATACTACCTTGCTTATCTGTACTTGGGAAAGGTATTAGATGTTAAAATATAGTATGGGTCTATCAGGGTCCTGCTTTCAACATGTCTCCAAATAGCTTAGCTGACAGCAGTTGAGTTTTGCTGTGTTTTATTATCCCCACAAATGTATGTACAATGACGGCAAACACACACAGTGATTTAAAGAACACAAGGAACCCTGCCGCTGCCTTTCAAAGTGGAAGACCATCATGTATCTTGAAGTGAGGTTGCTGCTGTGAAGAGGGGCTGGACTGACTGGCCTCAGAGGCAATGACTCCTGCTGCACTGCACAAGACACAGCAAGGCAAGTTCTCCACTTCACCTCACCATCGTGGCTGACCTCCGTCTGGTACCTTGCCCAGAAAGAGGCCTCTCACTATTCCTTCTTCTAATGGGTCTACTAGGAGCTCAGCTAATCTGCCATCTCTTTTATACACAGGCCAGCAAACAACCATCACCTGGAAATGACTCTGACCTACTATTAACCTTCAGGGAACTTGAATAGGCAGCTTCCAGACTCTTGTCTCCCCAGAACCACTACTCACGCTGAGGCTGTGCCAAGTATCTATTTGGGCAACATTTATAGCTCCTGGAACTGATGGAGAATTAGCTAGACTTCATGCTAGCTTCATGCTTGACTTGCTATTGCAGCTGTGTATCAAAAGGCAAATGAATTTCTTGGTTAATTCTCTAAGCATCTAGAAATTAACTTTGGATTTAAATCTGCAAAGATAACCATGAACAGCTTATAAAAAGTATTTTCCATTATAGATGAAGTATATTTTGTCTCTATGTTTATTTATTAAACACTTCTCGCAATGATATTGAACGTTCAACTTATTAAATCTCTTTACTATTCCTTCATGTTAGAACCAAAGATATTATTGCTTTCTCCTCACACCTTTCTTCATCTGTAAATTGCCGTAACCCTTTAATAAGGTCTGAATACTTTTAGGTCCATCTTAATTGTAAGGGAATAAAGATGTAGAGACATTAACCACTTGTCCAGGACCATTCACTGAAGTCAAAGGGAATGGAAAATTCTTCCCTGTTAGATGATATTTTCTCCTGAACAGTTCATAAATTTCTCATGCTTAATTTGTGTTTAACTACACTTTTTTTTTATTCTTCTGTGGGTGGAACCAAGTCAGCCAAAACTGTAAGCTGTTTCTCTCCCCAGAAAGGACAGCACTACCATTTTTTTCAGACAAGTGTGGTTAGGAAGTAAATGATGTCTCATCCTTACACACTTTCCATATTAAAGGTCTGGAGTCCACCTCTTGGATCAAAAGCTTCCGTGTGTGCATGGTTTAAGGAATCTATGCAACAGTCTCCAAGTAATCACTACATTTAAAATAGACAGAGCATACATCCTAACTTATGTGTTGCCAACACTCTTCTAAATAAAAGAGCTGAAAGTTTACTTTTTTTCCCTGTTCAGCCCTAAGTTTAGGATGGAGTTCCTAGGCTTCACTGGAGCTTTGTCACATGGCTTTTATGTAACCCTAGACAACTTTTCTAAATATCCTCATGCCTGAGTTTCCTCGCCAGATCACCTCACAGGGGTCATTTATAAGCACAGAAACTATCTAGGGCAAAGGCTGTCCTTTTTAGCCTGGCAGCCAGGATTACAGAATCCTCCAGCCTCCGTCCTCCAGCACTTCTGATCTCATCTTTTTAAATAAACTTGACAGAAAGGTTGAAGTCTCAAAGATACCAAGTTTCAGGTTAGACCTACACTGGCTGCCTGGAGGACACAGAGACCATAATTAGTGCTCCTTCTGAGAAAAGGCCTTTATTATAAACTCAACCATTACCTGTTTTGTTCAGCTTGCTGTCTGGCCAACCAGCAAATAAGTAGCTTGGAACACCCACATAATGTTTTCTCTTCTACAGCCTGCAATTAGGAGATATTCTGGCATTGGGGAGGACCTTAAGAGAAAAGGAACAGGGTGCAGAGTATCACCCTTCCTTAGCTCCACAGTTCAAGGAACATCTTGAACAACAGATGCATGATCCAGATTAAGGGTTTGTCCATATTATTGCAAAAAATACTCATTAAAAATAAGAAAAGCTTAAGAACTTCTGTTGTCTTGCTACAACGGCTAAAACTCTGTAATAATGGTTTTATTTGCAAAATGTAATATTTCCTGTCAAGTCCTGAGTTGAGGGATTAAGTCCAGCCAGCTGATTTGGATTATTTAATAAATACATCTTTCTGTGTAATGAACAGGGGATGCTAAGAGCCATTCCATTTGGTTAACAAACACATCCACAGTTTTTCCTTCTGCATTTGTGCTCAGCTAGTAACATACAGCAGAGACAAGACTGGGGCTGTGATCTGACTCTTAAAAAAATCCCTGGAGTTTCCACAGCCAACACCATGCTCTACATGCAGTGACATTTTTCACAGTTGAAAAAAAAAAAATAAGCACTGGGCTGTCGTTCATCATTTTCTGACAAAGGTTTTTGAACTGGATACGTTCTGCTTTGGATCAGCGATTGATTTATTTCCTATTTCAAAATGCTCCATTCCAGAGCTCTGTTTTGATTTCAGTAGGGAAAAAAAAAAGTATGATTGTTGAAGGAAAATACTTTTTGTAATTCCAGAAAGGTTAATATACTGACTGGGGCAGTGGAAGGATGTGTAGGGTTGTTCCAAAAGCTTAGTTATTTGATTATGATACTTGATCTTGTCTTTTCAGAAGTGTCTTATCAATACATTGTCATGAGCAAATTTAACAATTGATAATTAGTGTGGTGCTTTGAAATCAGACCTGTGGCTGGATCAATGGCAAACATACTGTGTCAGTATGGTGACTCTACATTAGAGTCACTTCTGCTGCAGCATCTCTGAATTTAGACAATCGCTCTGATCCTGAAATGCTGGCATGTGGCTAAATAGCTACCCTCTTTTTCCTTGACAACATCTTTGCAGTGGGAGAAGTGACCCTCACCAAGATAGACTGGTCATACTGATACTCTATGTCTGACATTGATCAACAACTCCTTTCTAGTCAGAAGCCTTTTATCACTCACATTTCACAAATGCAAAGGCTGAACAAAAGAAGTGATCTACTGACTTCTGTTAGGTAGGGGAGGGGGTCCAGCCCCAAATGCTCTTGGGCAGCAATGCCAAGGGAGCATGTCCCTGTGCCCAAAATGCCATGAGGACAGTAAAACACGCTGCAGCAAAAACTGCTTGCCCTCTGGCAGCAGTTCCCTGCAGATGGTAGGAAGAATATTTTACCAAGAGAGAGCAGCTTGCAAGGCATCAGCTCAAAGAGGAAAATGGCCACTGCCTCTGCTCCCCTGAAATCATCTTCATCCTTTTGTCCTCCGCAAGTAAATGTTTCCACAGTAATGAGAGGGGTCCCAGGCAGGAATTTGGCCTCCCATTCCCTGCTGACCTAATTAGGCAGCCACAAACTGACACTGTGATCATGGCACTACAGAGGTTGGACCATGTGGCCCTAACAGATGCAAATGTCACTGTCACAGCCAGGATTAAAATGCAGTTTCTCTGTGTTTCTTCTGTTCATACCATACCATCAGTGACAATCATTCCTCCCTTTCCCAGCTCTGCTCCCAGTAAGAGGACTGAATGTTGTGCCTGGCATTGCAAATTACCATTTTGGCTTCCTCCGCTGGAGTCGCTTGGGGCTAAGGGAGGCGGGTGCGACTTATCCATCAGCACAGCAGGAGACGGGACACCACCTACAGGAACACTGGGGATGTAGTATGGACCTGGCATGGAAGAGACCGCAGGAGGGTACCCAGCTTTTGCTGCTTTGCCTGCTACATACACTGAAAAAAGAAAAAAGGCAGCAATCAGCATCACACCAGCCTCCCACAGACCCACATGGCACGTGGCCGAAACCTGCATATCACCAGCATTGGGGACAATCCAGCAGGAGACAACTGGACAAATGAAATGACAAGGACCAATCTGAATTTCTCCAAGCCTCAAAGGGTGCTGAGGGGAGTTTAAAAAATGCACACAGCAGGTCAGATGAGCACTGCAAGATGTTCAGCAATTGAAAGACATTCAGGCTGTTACAGCCGGCATTACTGCTCCCATGATTTAGTGGCAGTTCAGCTTTAAAAACAATTGATGACTCAAGCAGCAGGCATGAGGCTCATGAAACTTGACAGATCTGCCCAAGTCTGACCAGGAACCTTCCTGGGTTGCAAGGATTTTGCACTATTGTAGAGGGCTGCTGCTTTGCATTGCCGCAAAGAAACCTCCCAGGATGCTCTTAGCTCTGACCTGCAACATTCACTGACACAACAACAACTTTGGAAAGGGAGCATGACACTTTGGAGAAGGAGGCACAGCTGCCAAGGCAGGGAGGGCTCAGGGAATTACATTTGTAATTAACTTTGAGCACTCAACCATTGAGCAATAGGTCAGATGCTTCGCTCCCCAAGAACTAGTTCTTTAGTCAAGCAAAGTGCTCAGGGCAAAGGAAGCAATATTAGCAGATTCTCCTCCTGTTCTGCCAGGGAGAAGAAGTAGTGCAGGAGAAGATTTGTGCCAGGTTTGGACAGGGTCACTCACACGCCCGGGGACAGCAGCAGGACTCAGGACAGCAGGGGCAGCGGACGTAACAGCAGCAGCTGTGTGGGCAGCACTGGCACCAGCCGATGCCCACCATAATGCCCCCAGGATCACCAGACCCACGAAGACCCACTCTGGAAAACAAGGGGAGAAAGGGAGATACTTACAGGACTGCATATTGCTGTGGAACAGAACATCAGCAACATCCTGCCAGGGGACAGCATGGAGTAAGACAGACAAGTGAATAACAGAAGCCGACTCCCTGTGGGTCTAGGACTGCATCCCGCTGTGTCGAAGCAGAAACGGCACATGACAGTGAGAAATGGAGCTACAGAAATGTGGTCCCTTCTTGCGACCTCTCTGGCTGGCTGGAAGGTGAGCAGCACAGAGGCAGGAGCTCTGGTTCCCCATCACAGAGACTTTCACCCCACAGCAGACCTGTACGAATGCCACATGACATGCTCCACTGGCATTTGGATCTCATCAAAGACTCATTCTTCCTGGCCATGCTCATGCCCTGCTTGTGTGTTTGTTCCCTACCCACATTCTAGTTTTAATGGGACAAACGATGGTGAAAAGCACGCTATAAATAGCCCAGTAAATGAGCTAGGCCTGCCCCTTCACAACTAGGCCCACGCATGCAATTATTCTTTTGAATGTGCCGAACGAGCATCCTATTCAGGCACTGCAGCCAGCCAGGAAACCTAACAATCACTTTTTTTTTTGCCCCCCGCTCGCTGAAGCCTCAGATGATGTCTGCCAGGCCCCAAAAAGGAGCAGCTGAAAAACACCCTACAAGTGAAAGCACAGAAGAGCTGGTCCACAAAAACCAGGATGGGGGTTGAACGGGAAGGGGAGCCAGAAAAGGTTTCTCAAACTTTGCTGCTGGGAAGTCTGCAGCGGCAGCAGCTCTGGTGGGAGCAGGAGCCCAGCCCGCGCCAGGACAGCTCCCAGCTCTGCATCTGACCACCCCGTGCTTTGCAGGGGTTTGCGTGCACAGGGCTGTACCTACTGCCACATGGGAATTCCCTGGATTAAGGGAATGGTCAGTGAACACATCCACACCAAGGAATTTCAAGACTCTGAATGTACAGGAGGCCTGGGGTTGGTTTTGCATCAGAGAGATGCACCAACCTATCTAGAGGTCAGACCACTGGTGGGGAAAGACTCCGGGTGTACGCAGTTATTCAACCACCTTGGGAAGGTGGTAAGAAAGCAAAGAAAGAAGTGGTGGGCTGCTTTGAAGTGGGGTAGGGTTTATCCGCCCCCCGGAGAAAAAAAAGCAGCAGACCACTGTTTCCGAACAGAAGTCCACTAAGGGGCCTCCTGGTACGTTAGTATTTAAGATGAAGAAGTATTGATACAAGGATTGCAATGTGAGTACAGAGTCACACTGGAAAAATAGTGCACCTCCCACCTGCGTCACTAAACTGAAAAGTCAAGGGAAAATGTTCCACTTGGAACAATCAAAACAAGTTTTTTTCTAGTTCTTAGTAAAATGCAAAAATAAGAAGTGTCTGTTTTCATTCATACACAGCATTCTCTTTGAACAAAAGTAAAATTCTTTGCTTTGTTGGAGTTTTCCTTAACTGTTTTACAAACAATTTCCCTTTTTTAATGACATTTTTAACCTAAAACTTAAATTTCCTTTAAAAAATGTCAAGTGAAAGATCTGGCATTTACAAATCAAAACACTTCAGAAGTGTCAAGTGAAATATTTTATATTTTTTCAATATTTTATTCCTTTTTTGCTGAAATAAATTAATTTCATTTAAATTTGTAGGTGATTTTGGTCCTTGTGGAATTTTTTTTTTTGTGAAATTACTATATGCTGAGAAAAATTCAGCTAATGAATAAGGAAATGGCTGGAGGGAAGCATTCCTGAATGGAAAAGTAAGAGCTGAGAGGAGATTACTGATACAGTACCTCAAGTGTCAGTTCTAGGAGCTATCTTATTTAATATTTTCATGAATGACCCTGACACAGAAAATAAGAATGTGTTAATGTATGTTGACGGTAAGAGGTAGGGAAGCATTGTCACTAAAGATGAAGACTGGGATATGTTAACAGAAAGGGCCAGTTGTCCTTGGGCCTACAATAAGAAAGATGAAATGCAGCAATACTTTCAAGGTCACATGTTCAAAGATTAAGAACAATTTCTGTTCTGAACAGGACTTCATTAGTGGAAAACAAGTGAAAAACAAGAGAAATTATTCAGTATACTATTCCATCACAGGACAATCGTAACCACTTATGCAATACAGCCACAAAAACAGCAAATGTAATCCTATGCCCAATAGAGGAGGAATTTCCAGTAGCCTTAAGGAAATATTAATGCTATCATAAAAAGCCTCCATGCAACTTCATCTGAAGTTACCGATGTTATACAGCTCTGGTCATTTCTGTACAAGAAAAGATGAATTCAGGTTGCAGCTGATGCAAAACAGGGATTTGAGGGGATGAAGGGACTCGATATCCTGCCTTGCAGCAGGAGAGCTGAAGCTTGCTCCGTTAGTCTATTAAAAAGGCTGAGAGCAGATGTAGCTCCTGCCTGTAAATATGCTAAAAGGATGAATGCTAGGAGGGAAAGCAGGTGTTATAGGTAAAGGTCTTACCTTTATGGTAATATGGGCATAAACAGGCTATGAGTAATGTAGATGGAAGCTAGAAGCAGCACATCAAAGAAAGCGATCCAGTGGGAGAGAGAAAGGCCAAATCTAGACTACTCTTAAGTTTGCTAAGCTTATGGAAAGGATGAAATTACATGGCGCTCGGGATATCAAGCAAGATAATGAGCCAAACTATCCTTTCCAGTCCTGTACTTCCTATCTACACCAATCTGAGCAGGGCAACAGCTCAGTGGCTTTTTCTTTTGTCATGTTCTCATCTTGTTCTCTACAACCATCATTGATACAGAGAAGGTGGTAAAACAGTATCGCATGACAGAAATGGCCAGCCATAGCTATGCAATGAAGCTCAGATGTTAGTTCTCCAGAGCTAAGAGTGAACAGTTCACAGCCACTCCATAAAGGATAAAAGCCTGGTAGCAGAAAAAGCCAAACAGCAAGTCCATTGAAAGTGTATCTGTGGTCTCTCTGAAATTGTTCTAGGAGTACAAAAGGAGGTCAGGTTAGTATGTACACTGCACATTGCAAGATACTCACTCAGCACCAGGAGTGGATGTTTGAAATCAGTGTCCCAGTCACAGGGACCCATGAATCAGGAAGGATTTTTACTTCACAGGCAGTTAGACCATTTGCTTCTCTGATGCAGTTAAGGAAACCACAAAAAAACCTGCTGGCTCCTCCTTTAAGCACAAAACTGGGACTCAACCAGTCCCAGATACACCTGTGTAACCCTGAGATTCAAATGACTACCAAGCTGAAATGCTATGTGTCCTCACTGTCTGGAAACTACTGGTTTGTCCTTGCAGGAGCATCTGCTTTTGTTTATTCAGGTAACACAATGCTAACAGCTGAAAAGTGGTTTGCCGCTGCCTTTTACACTTTCTTGTTGTTTATACCCGTGTGGTGAGAGTACCAGAAAGCTACCTGGCCAACACACAAGAATTTTACACCCATTCAATAAAATTGTAAATAGCGGGGGGAAAAAAGTGTTTCGGCAACAGAGAATCAACTTCTGTCTATGCTGAAAAGACCAATCCCTCTCCTGTCATGCTGAACTTCCAGGTGGGGGAGCGTCTGCCTTCTCTCTGTTTTTATCTCTGGGATAGACTTGAAAATAGCTTCACAGATTTATGTGGAGTTGCATTTTCGCACAAACATGTGAAAGAAACACTCCTTGCGTGCCATCAGGGGATGATCAGATGACTCAAGGGCTAAATGTTCTTACAGCTTTTCCCTTTCAAGGACAATCTGTTGCACAGTCTCCATTTCCTCTGCAAGGAGCGCCAAAACTGGTGGCCCTCGTTAGTTTGGCTAGCAAGGGATTTATCATGGGCACAGAGCTTTCCTGTTTGGTCCAAGCACCTGGTGTTACCTAGATAATGCCCTGGCTATGGAGCACAAGAGGGGCTGTGCCACTGATGGGCTTGCTAACCAGTGCTCTATTTCTAGCACCTCCTGTGCTACCATCTGTGGTAATGGCTATAACGGTACCCGCAGGTTAGGGCCTGAAGAGCAGAAGTTGCTACTGCACAAGAGCAGCTGATGTACAAAGCCATACCGGCACACGAGGCTGCAGACGTCTTGCAGGCTGGAGCAGTGTTACCTTTGTGCTAGCAGAGGGAGAGCAGAGAGTTTGATATAGAACTTCCCCTGAACAGCAGTGGCATTTCTGCTCTCACACTGATTCTGGCATGACATCAACCATCTCTGTATGTTGGCTCCCAGCATGGCCATTCCTCCCCCAAGTCCCAGCATCAGCTCTCTTAGATCTCAACCCAACACACTTTCCCAGTAAACGACACGCTTTTCTTTTTTTATCCCCCGACAAAACACACATAAGAGTGAAAAATGCACCACATAAAGATGCTGCAGAAGGATAAACAGACAAGATGACAGAGGACTGGGTGATTGAAGGGTGAAATGACTGAATACCTGGCATAATCTCCACAGCAAAACTGGGCAAGAGATCAGCAAGCAGCCCTGTCCTGCCTAGAAAAGACAGAAGGAGGAGAACAAGGAGAGAGGTTACTGCAAGAAAAACACACTCCCCAGCCCCTGCCTTAGCCTCCAGTCCCGTTCCTCATCAGCCCACTTGCACTCTGTTAAGTGAATTCCTATCAACCACAGATGTCATCCTGCTCGATGCCTGGTGTCTGCCTCTGCACTTCTGCCATTTCTGTGTCCTTGCATTTTATCTTTATCAGTAGAGCTGAGGGGAAAGAATCTGGAACAGAGCTTCTCTGATCTAGGCACAAAATGACAAGAAGAGGGACGTCCCCTTAGCGTGGTTACACGGTAACATCTTTCTGGAGCTATGCTTTACACATGCAAAAAGCTCCTGGAAATGCATAACAGCCCTCAAATAGAAGGATTTAGTTTACTTTTCAAATGTACTGATGTAGTTTGGATGGATGCAAAACATCTCTAACCCAAGGCCCTTAACAAGTCAGCCACATGCATCCAACACCCATGGGTGGTGCTCTCAGTGTGGAGCTCTGCAACTGCAGAGATAGCTCCAGGAAAGGAGTCTTGAAACATGACTGTGAGTATGTGCTACTTATTTCAAGATGCATGAGCAACTTGGTGAGATTGTGTGATATAAGGCCAACTCGCAAGTGAAGCAAACCAACCAGGGAAGGATTCATGTAGAAATTTGTGGAATCCCTTTGCAAAAGGAAAAAGAAAAAAAAAGGCAAGTCATCTTCTAATTTGTAACAGAATATAAACAAAATCCAAGCCCAAAGGCAGCTTTGGGCCTATTTGTTTTGTCACTGAATGTCTGGGATATTTCCAGTACACAGCAAACATCCAGCACAGTGTTCAGCTATAATTTACACACACCTGTGCATCAGCAGAACAGCCCTATGTGCAGCTGTGCTGCATACTATTTTATATAGCACCAGGATCATGCTAGGATTTTTAAAGACATGCATAAGGTAGGACAGCTGCACTCTGAAGAGAGACATACATTGTGGATATAACATAACAGAAGCAGCTAAGGGTAAGCCAGTGCAAAAGTGGTAGAAAGCTACCTTTAACCTCCCCACATGCCCTTCAGGTCCTGCACTAAGCAGCACTCAGACACAATGATGAACTGGATCCCAAGTTCCTTGGCCTCTAGTCTGTCCTTGAAGCATGTTATTATCAAACTCCCACTGTCCGTTTTTTCTCAGTGCTTCAGCAGAGGTTCTGTAGAGATCAAAAATCCACAAGGGTGCCTGCTGGAGCCATAATAAACACACTCTGAATGCAGGCAGTGCTTTACAACCAGTTGCAACTCATCAAAGCTATCTAGTACTCACAGTAACGCCATCATGATGAGGCACTCCTGAAGCCTTAGCAAGATACAATGGTGGTGTTCCTCATTTACTACTTTAAAGGAGGACTCTTGTCATCAGTCTACTGCAACATTTTCATCTACATATACAAAGAGTTTTCTGACATTCTTTGCAGTCTTTTTTCTGGAAGGATCAAGAGTCTAAAGTGCTCACAACTAACTTGTTATGGGAAAGTGTTTATGTATGCTTTCTGCTCACAAGATACAGGCACGTATACAACGTATGTGTCACTTATGTCTTGGGTGCCATAGGTGGGCCCCAAACACATGCACCAAATGTATGCCTTGTGTCACCGTATGCTAGATTTACATTATGTTCCACGTGCATATTAAATACTTTCCTTATTTTCCCAGCACGCACAAAAAAATACGTAATATTTTCACAGGCCTCTCTGTGTCTGTATGTGAACAACATACACGTGAACCACATGCACGCAGAACATATGGGCAGACACGGGCATGCAGCTTGCCTCCCATGTGTTATTATCTCCACAAAAGCTCACGTGCAGCCCGAGTCAGAGAGAAGATGCCAATGGAGAAATAGCTGGAGGTATATAGCCAATTCAGGGCTCGGATTTGTGGTACCAGAGGTAAGCGAGTGACACCTATAAAGAGAAGAAGCTCCATCTCATTAGTCCAAATAGGCGCCTGCTTTATTTTGAATCTACTCAAAGAGTCTCGATCCCTGCTAATGTTGGGTCTCATGGTGCGTCCTGATCCCCAGGAGGAACCACATGTTCAAGGGGGAAGAAGCAGCCCTCAAAAATAAAAGTGCTTGAGAACTTGGTAACTCATTACAAAGACAACCAAAGTACTTACTCTGTGCTACCTACAAACAGTCAAGTATTTCCATGCTTGTACAGCCTCACTCGGCTCTGCTGGGTATCTGCTTGGGGAATTTGCTCCCCCCTGCCCTGCCAGCGGGGGCCCCAGAGC